CTGAGGATAATCCGAAGCTTCTCTAATTGTAGTACAACTCGTCCAGTTTGGGCGGCGCTTCGCACGCAACACATGCGCGCGCGTTGTTCTCTTTAAGACAGGTGTAGTGTTTCTAGGACAGAGCGGTCCAGAAGGGCCTACACCTGGTTTGCCCAGATTATCACTCATCTCCTGTCCTAACCTTCGCCCTATGAGAAAGCGTTGCGTCAAGACTAATGCCATACTCCCAGCGCTCATCGACCAGTGGGCGGACCCAACCTACATTCGTCGACTGCTACAAGAACTGCTCTACAACAGCCTTTCCATCGCCCCCTTACCACCAGTTGCAAAGGGTCCTATAAGGCGACTCCGTTCCGCTAAAGCTGTCTACCGCTGCCTTATGTGGGCGAAGAAGTAACTAGACTGAAACGAAAGAGACATAAGAATTGACAACAGATTCTCTCGAACGTTCATTAGCGGAAACGACTGGAAGAATTAAACAAAGAGTGGAAGAAAATTGGACTGCGAACAAAGCGAAGGAAGACACAGCTCATGGAGAACGCCTTTGCGAGGATTAGGAAATGAAATTAGAAGAGTCCCCGATCGTGGAAGAATCTTCTTTGAACACGGAAAACGATCTGTAAGAAAGAAACAAGAAGCGAGGAGGAGTTTGGGCTGCTTTTAGGCCTCGATTGGAAGCACAACCGCTGAGGAACCCACGCTGGCCCACCTGTTCCCCTCAATCGTTCTCCCAACGCTCTGACGCAACAGACGTGGCCTGACACTGTGCCCACATCGAAGTCTCCGATTAACCCACACAGCGCTGCAAACGTCTTCTGAAGTACAATTGAGGCACTCAACATCTCGTTGGATTTCGCAGTTCAAAATTGAAATCAGTGTCTCATCTTCGCGATCCAGCCGTAACATCTAAAGCAAAACATGGATGCGCTGGTCATGTGATAAGAACAGAACACAGACGCTATAAGAATGCGGGCTGGATCCTTCGCGAAACAAAACGATTTCGAGGAGACCACAATCAGATGGACTAGTAGCTAAAATCTCTGCTGGTAACGAATAAAGGAATCTAGCGATAGCCAGTTCAACACCAACAACATCCTGAATGACGCTAGCGAGAGACAGAAACGAATGGAAATAATTTGGGGCCTGCACGACGGACGAAGACAAGCCACCCAATAAAGTATCTAACGGATGCTTTCTACTTGAAGTGCCCATTTAAAACCTAGATATATTTCATAATAACAAGTTGGATATGGAAACTCAACTTTTTTGATAGAAGATATGGGCACTTCTTTCCATGAGACCACCTACAATATGGAGTATTTGCGCAGTGAGGTTAG